TGTCACCATACTATTTTATTTTAGAGGCACTCTATGAGTGAAGACCGATTTTGTAGTTTGGTTATCCATTATTTGTCAGCAAGAAATATTAATATATAGAAAACAAGTCTACTACGATAATTTAGGTTTAGTTTCACCGTAAGTTTTGCTTATACGCGAAAATTAGATGCATAAGATCACACTATCATGGAGATAAATGATTAATTCTAAAAATTTGCTGGGGACTTTTTTCGTCTGCGGGAAAATGGCTGATGTTAAATCGCACCTCCAAGAAATAATGATATCTATCAATTCTACAAATACTTCTATCACTCACAATTTCATTTTCAAACACACTATATTCCTTAAATATTTACTTTGCGACTACATACATTTTTTATGACATGAAAAGCCTGACTTCTACTCTTCTGAATCAAAACTCTAGTAAATTCTTTCAAATGCATGGAAGATGTTTGGGAGAGTAATGAGACTCTTTTTTAATTGCTGAGAATTGTACATAACCCATAATATATCTCTGTCAAGTTATTACTTTTATTCATTAATTTTTTTATTTTTTCTAGATTCAAAGAAATAAATTCTCTTCTTTATTTACTAATTTATCTCAATCAATTCATCATAACTTAATTCTTTCTTATCTTCTTCAATTCTTTACCTAAGCTACTATAAAGTTTAGCAAGTACCATTATAAATCAATTATTTATTTCCTTTAACAATTTATTTTTTCTATATATTAATCTTATTAACTTAATTTAAACAAAATAATATAAATCAACATTTAATATAATTACAACTTCTTTCTTAAACAAAATTTAACTTTAATCCTCTCTTAAAACTCAATTTCATGGATTTTTTCTTATTCATCATTTCTCTTGTCTGCTTTTTGCTTTTAATTTTCCAAGTATCGTCTGCTTGTTTTTTCCCCATTTTTTTCTATTTCAAAATTCAAATTTATCTTACAATTTACTTTAAAATTTATATTATGTCAATTTTCAAAAATCTAACAATCTACTCCTACAACATTCCTGGCCTACTTTCAAAAACAACTATACTTAGGAAACTCCTTGATCAATATGATATTAACATTATTTTAACACAAAAATCTCTTATTACCAATAATATAAAAAAAAAAAGAGAAAACAAAACAAAAAAGAGAAAACAAAAAAAATAAATTACAAATTACAAAAACTAATTCTTCTTCCTCTTTACTCCTTAATCACCCCCCCCCTCCCCTTTTTTCTAATACATATTCCTATCTTATCTTTTATAATAAATAAACATTATTTACAATGTGGATCCTGGCTTATCCACGAGTGGTACCCGTCATCCCACTCAAATTAAACGGGACCCTGACAGTAGGGTAAATTACTGACAACTTTGTGGATCCTGGCTTATCCACGAGTGGTACCTGTCATCCCACTCAAATTAAACAGGGCCCAGACAGTAGGGTAAATTTTCTGCCAAACAGTGAATGTAAATTCACTGCACTGGAGACGCTCTCTATGGGGTGGTGGAGTGCCCACTTAATTGTGGGATGTCTCCCCATGTATGATATGATATGATGAGTGAAGACCCTTTTTCTTCAATAAATATCGTCTGCTTTTTCACATTTAACTTCAATTACCAAAAATTAATTTCTTTTATTTACCCTTCCTCTATTAACATGCCATTAAATAAAAAATTAATCATCTACTCTCTCAACATGCCAGGTTTGCTCAGTAAAATCACAATTCTAAGAAAACTCCTTGAAAAATATGATATCAACATAATTATGACTCGGGAAACATTAATAAATGACAATATAAAAAAAAACTAAAAGGCTATACTGTTTTTAATTCTAATCATTCCACCAACCACAATGGCGTTGCTTTCATCATTAAGGATTCTATTCTAAAATTCATTACAAATTTTATACCTATAAGTGACAGAATCGCTTCTGTCACTTTAATCTCCAAAGGTAAAAACATAAAACTTATTAACATATACGGCCCTGCTAAGTCTGCAGAATATCCTGCTTTTATCTCCTCCCTAAACAACCATCTCAAACAAATTAATCCTAATCATTTTATTATTATTGGAGGAGATTTCAATATGAAAATAGGTAATGAAAATATAAATATAATCATAGGTTTTGCCGCCCTCAATCAGTAAACAAATCAAAATGGCCAAAAAATTATTGACATCTGCAATAAATTTAATCTAAGAATTACCAATACCTTCTTCAAAAATAAAAATAATGACTACTGCACATACTACAAACCTAACTCATCTTATAGCAGTCAATTAAATTTTTTCCTTACCAGTATTAAAATGAATTTCTATATTCAAAATGTATCCATCCTTAAAGAAATCGATTTCCTTTCTGATCATCGTCCCATTGCCCTAAACCTCTTTATTAAACCTTCCCTTCTTAGAAACATCAATATCAAATCTAAACAACCAATCCCCCCTCCAACAAAAAAATACAATATTAATAGCTTAAATATCCCTTCATTAGCCAATAAATTTCAAACCAGCCTCAAATCTATCAATAACAACTCTCCATGGAATAATATTCAAGACTCAATCATCAATTCTGCCAACCTCCATCTTAACATCAAAACAATCTACCCTGATTGGATCAGTTCCCACACTTCAAACCTTATCAACTCATTACCAAATAAAAATAAAACTAAGAAAATCAAATTTCATTAAATCTAAACTTAACTTAGTTAAAAAATCCATTAGGAAAGACAAACGTAATTATCTTACCAACAAACTTAATAATATCTCAGAATTCAAACGCAATAATGATCTTTATAATGCCTTCAAATCACTTAAATTTATTACTTCCTCAAACGAAAAAAAAATTAATAATTTAAAAATTGGCCGTCTAATTATAAAAAATCCTGAAGACCAACTCAATATCTTCGTCGATCACTTCAGAACTATTTTCAATAATAAAATCCCCCGCCCTACTTCTCTTCTCTCAAATCAACTCATTACAACCCCCCCCCCCTTTATTCTTAAAAAATAGACTTTATCAATATCATTAAGAAATTAAAAAACCATAAAGCCTCCTTAGGCTCTATCAACAACGAAATTCTAAAAATTTTCCCTGAAATTACTACTGATCTAATCTTCCCTACTCTCAATAATATATGGAATTCTTCCATCATTCCTCTAGAATGATGTAAATCCACCATCATTAATCTTCCCAAAATTTCCAATCCCACCTCAATCCATGATTATAGAAGCATTACCCTCACCTCTCCCTTCTACAAAATACTTACTACCTTCATTTTCAATCTTATAATAAAAGACATTGAAAAAAACACCCATTATTCCATCGCCTCCTTCAGGCCAGGTCATAATACCATAGAACTAATTACATCTAAAATTAGGCTTGAAAAAGCTACAATCTATAAAACCGATACTTATGTAATATTTATTGACATTTCAAAAGCATTTGATTCCATCAAACACCAATACCTATGGAATACTCTATTTAAATACAATATCAATCCTCATTTAATAAAGATCATTATGTTCATATATGAAAATAGCTATATCAACATTAAACACAACAACTTATTTTCTCCTTACTTTAAAATAAAATGCGGTATTAAACAAGGTTGCCCACTCTCCCCCCCCTTCTTCAATTTAATAATTAGTGATCTAATTAAACTTTGCAATCTCCAAAATGTTGAATGGCTATGTTATGCAGATGACATTTGCATCATAACAGAAGATTTCAATAATTTAAATAACATTCTAACCACAATTTCCTCCAATCTTCAGCTCATGAATCTAAAAATCAATTTCAATAAAACAAAAATCCTTTCTAATTCTTCAATACATCACAACTTTTCCTTCAACAACATAAACATCCAATTCTCTAAATCTCTCAAATACCTAGGCATCATCTTAGATTATAAAGGCTCCATAAATCCTAACACTACCACCATTCTCTCTTCAGCTACAAAAAAATACAACTCTCTTAATAAACTATGGCACACTAATCTAATTTCTAACAAATTCAAACTTCAAATCTTTAAAATCTATATCCTATCTTCACTAACCTATAGTATTGAAACCTGGGACAATTCAAATTCAAACTTAAAAAAAACTCAAGTTTTTATCAATAAATCTCTAAAAAATATTCTCAACATTAAATATCCTTTAATTATCTCTAACTTTAGCCTTTGGAATTTCTGCAATATTCTTCCTCTACATAGACTTCTAACCTATCGCAAATTGGAAATTTTCTGTCATTCCTTTAGACACTCCCATCAAAGCACCATATCTTTCGCTCTTAAACACAAACCTTCAAACCAAAAAAATAAAAATAAAATATCACACATATCAAAAATCATGGTTTAGCCATGCCATCAATATTCTAAGAATAAATAATGTTAGCAATTTATTTTTAATAAATATTTCCCAAAATAAATTAGACCTCAAATCTTGGCTTAATCAAGCCATTCTTGATTAACTATGAATTATACTTTTTTTTTCCTTTTTTCTTTTTTCATTTATAATTTTTCTCACCTCATTATACAAATAACATCAAAAAACATTATAAAAAAATAAGAAAAAACAAAACAAAAAAGAGAAAACAAAAAATAAATATATTACAAATTACAAAAACTAATTCTTCTTCCTCTTTACTCCTTAATCACCCCCCCCCCCTCCACTTTTTTTTCTAACACATATTCCTATCTTATCTTTTATAATAAATAAACATTATTTACAATGTGGATCCTGGCTTATCCACGAGTGGTACCCGTCATCCCACTTAAATTAAACGGGACCCTGTCAGTAGGGTAAATTACTGTCAACTTTGTGGATCCTGGCTTATCCACGAGTGGTATCCGTCATCCCACTCAAATTAAACGGGCCCAGACAGTAGGGTAAATTTTCTGCCAACAGTGAATGCAAATTCACTGCACTGGAGACGCCCTCTATGGGGTGGTGGAATGCCCACTTAATTGTGGGATGTCTCCAGTGTATGATACGATACGATGAGTGAAGACCCCTCCAATGACAAAAAATTTAATTTGCAACTGCTAGAAACTAAACTAAAAACCTGCAATGAAAATAAAGATATAGAACTTAAATCTTATATCGAAGCATATCAAGAAATACAGAAGTTAATATTTTTCTTGATCTAGTTTATTTTTAATTCAAGGTTCTTTCCTTTGTTGGGAAAAATATTCTATTTCATTTACACTGATGTCCAAAAAAAATTAACAATTTTGAATAATTTTACATTAGATACGAATAAATCAGGTATTTATAAAACAGTATTGTCTATGGTTCGTTATGAAGTTACTCTCTTGAAGGAACCTATAAATGAATATATAATAATAAATGATGCTGCCATAGGATGTAGAACATTTTCACGCCTTCATAGGGCCTTTAATTTTTTTATAAACTTTTTAGAGGGAATAGTTAATAAACAACAAATTTTAAACAATGAAAATTTTACTAATAATAATATGGATTATAAACTCTCTTCTATAGCAATAGAATCTTATAATTTAACATTATCACAATTCCATCCATGGATCATTAAAAAGGCAGTTCAGGTTGCAGTTCATAGCCTGCCTACAAAAAAATGATTTACTTAATCAATTAGACCCTTGTTCATTTATATTAGATATTAATGGTAAATTTTAAATTAAATTATTTGCTTTTAAATAATTTTTAGAGATCCATCATTATAGAAATGAGACAATTTTGCAAAAATTTATAGATATTATACAAGAATCAAAAAAAATATATAATAATATTCAAGTTATTTACAGAAAATATAATATTACAAACATACCATGATATATATATTTAAATGTTCTTTTTATTTCAATGATATATGATTCACATATGATGTTTGGGTTTTCCAAATGAGATTAATTATAATCAGACTTGATTTATTTTTATATGGTATAAATTAATGAAATGTTTTGATTTTAATATAAAATTTATAAAAAAAATTCTTATACCAAATATATAATATATTGAAATATTAAATATGTAAAAATAATTATTAAATATGTAAAAATATTCATCTTATCATCAGTGTAACCAAAGAGAGGGGAATGTGAGAAATCTTCCACACCCCAATAAAAATTTGCAAATATCATTTTAATCATATAAAAATTGGTACCCTTACATTCCCCTCCTTCAACCTCAAAAATGAATAAAATTATAACCAATATTTTATTTATGACTTGGCAAATGGCATGCAAAAATTGGTCTTAAATAACATTCGAAGGTAAAAAAGTTACACACAAGTACCCCATACCTCTTAAGAAAATCATTTACTTCTATGGACTTTATTAGCTTAGATCCACAAAAAATCTGAATATTCAAAACCACCAACTTAATAATTGATACCGATCTAGTATTTATTATTGCTATAAACGAACGCGTTCATGAATAAGTTCGTTTTTAAAAAAATGATGAACGGCGTTTCTTTTATTTTTGACGAACATGAACAAGTTCCTTTTTTTTGATGAACGTGTTTGAATTTAACATTCGTTCAATTTTAAAAACATCTTATTTGAAAAATTTATATTCCTAATTTTTTAAGAAAAATTTTTAATCAGCTTTTTTTCACATTTCAATTTTTTTTAACTAACCATTATTATAGTTTATTAATTTGAATATTATTATTTATATTTTAATTTAATAGATTAACATAAGCATCAGAGTTGTTAAAGTATCTAGATATAAAAATGTAGTATCTGTATCTGTATCAAGATAGATTTTTTAGATAGGTATCTGTATCTGTATCTAGATATTTTTTTAGAGGTATCTGTATCTGTTTTTAGATACTTTTTAAGATACATTTTATATACCGCTTTTTTATTGTAAATAAAAATATTTGACTGTAAAATTTATTTTATTTCATATGAGCTTATGAAATAAATAAATATATATATTATATATTAATATTTATTAATACTATAATAAAGAATTATATATACATAAAATATTAAAACTTATATATAAAAAATATATATAAATATTCATTAATTTAAATATTATGTCCGAGTTTATCAATAAACCATACAAATTTTAATATTACAATATGGAAATGGTAAATTTTATTTTATGACTAAATTTTTAAGTTTATATATTTATTTAGATCTATATCGATGAAAAAGAGGAAGCAACAAGTTCTATTGCTTTACCATGGCCAAATTGAGCATATTTTAAAATAATATCTCAAAACAAAGAAAACAATTAATTCTCTGATGGTAAAAGGTTTGCCGTGTCTACCTTAAAATACAAAAATATCCGTCAGTATGACTTCAACGTGCAATATCGTGAAGCACATAAGGGTATAGATATTATATATTTAAAATTCTAATTAAAATTTTAAGAGAAAATATCCAACCTTGTTAACAAAAATAAAAAAGGGGAAGGAAAATAAAATACTAAAGAAAATATTGGCAAGGCTCATCCTCCAATAATATTTTTGTTAAAAGACCTTTGACTTTAACTCAAGGCACTTTAGATGATTTAATTATTGCTTTTATTATAGATGGCATGCAGCCATTATAAAAGAAAACAATTGATACAAAGATTAGCTGGTGAATTATTAAAGTCATCAACTGACTGCAAGCAAATAACCTGCCAAAAAAAACAAATAATTTAATTTCAGATTTTTTTCAGTACCCTACAGCAGATATAATTTCTAATAATGATTTAAATTTTGATAATCAACAAATTTTAAATAACTTTTTCAAAAATAAATGTAGAGATTTTAGCATTTTTAAAGAACTGATATAAAATTGTTATTTATTAAATATAACACTATAATTCCTTCAAGCGCCCCTGTGGAAAGACTATTTAGTGTTGCTAAAAATGTCTTCACAGATAAACGAGGATGCCTAAATGATCAAAATTTTAAAAATATTTTATTACTGAAATCTAATAATTATTTAATCATATATTTTCATATATTATATTAAAATTATAATTTTAGTTATATTCTGATAAATGTTATATCGCGTCAATAAATTTTTAGCTCATTTCATGAATTTTCACAATATAATATTAATTTAGGTTTATGCAAACCTATAAGAGCATAAAAAAATGTATCTGTATACGATACATTTAAAAATGTATCTGTATCTTGATAACTTTTTAGACGCTGTATCTGTATCTAGATAACTTTTGAGACTATGTATCTGTATCTGTATCTAGATCCATTTAAAAAGTATCTTTTAACAACTCTGATAAGCATGGATATTATTATTTCATCATCTGATTTTGATATGGCCCAATCATAGTTACCAAATATAAAATGTGCCCAAAAAGTATAATATCAGTTTCAGAATCTTCAGGTTCTAATTTGGAACGACATTTGATTGTATTAAATTTAATATAAAATGAGGAAGTAGAGGATATATTGAAGGAGGATAACTTATCTCATTTTTTTAGGCAAAGAACAAAACAATAATTTAATAAATTCCCCTCATTAAAAGAGTTGTTTATTAAATATAAACTGCAATCCCCTCATCTGCCCCTGTAGAGCGCCTTTTTTTATAGCTAATACAGTATTAATTGCCGGCTTTCCTGCCTATCAGATGAAAAATTTGAAAAACAATTGTTAATAAAAATTAATAAGATAAATTTTTTATTATTGACTATATTATTTTTTAACGTGGCTAATATATTGTGTTAAAAAATATAAGACAATTATATTAAATTAAATTTTAAAAAAAATTATCATAAAATTTTGAATGGACGTGAACGCGTTCGAATTTGTCAATAAACGTTGAGCGTGTTCGATTTTTTTAGAAATGTTTGCAGCACTAGTATTAATTTATATTTATCAGGGACATGAACCCTTCGACAAAAAAAAGAGGAATCGATTCAGGAAAAATTTATAACGAGTTTGAGCCAGTTTCAGGTTTTGGAGATCATAAAGAAATATTGACTCAACATAATACAATTTTCTAATATTTATTTTTTTTATACTCCATATAAAATTAATACTTATTATGGACCTATATATTAGTTACATTGCTAACCATTGACCAAACCTATATATTGGATACAAAAATAACATTTTAAATAAAACTTTCTGCTATCCTTAAATCTAATTTGAAAGGTTAGGCATTCTCAGTAAACTCATTCATGCCAAACAATATACTATAATGCATTCATTGTAAATGAGGATGTTCTTACATGTTCTAAAAAACAACTAGGGCTGTGCCGGGTCCTATATAAAACCGATTCGATCCGATATTTTTTATGATTGTATGTAAAATCATATAATTTTATTTTATAAATAATTTCACAATAAATTAACGAAAGGAACTAAAATACAATTTATTTGTTGTGTTTATAAAAATTAAAAACTATTTTTTTGATATTATCTGCAACATGAAAAGTATTTTAAAATATCTAACGAGTTACATTCAGTTAGTATTAAACAGTTAGATTTAGTCTATTTATAAAAACGTTTAACTCAAGGTTGTAGCTGAAAGTAAATTACACAAGCTTATTGATTTGGCCCACAGATGGCAGAAAGGTTTGGATTAGCGAAATTTCGAAGCTTAGGTAATAATATTTTGAGAAAATCTTGATTTCGCCATCTTTAAAATCCGCCAAATTGAGCTGCTTAACACTACATTTATCCCTAACACTTTGCAAATGTTTTATGAGATTAACTTTTGGAGAATAAAATAATAGTTAGCTGGTCTTTTTAGGAGAAAATTTTGATATTTTTAAGACATTGATACAAATGTAGATAATAAAATCAAATCAATATAATCGGATCGGAGAAAGATTTGGGGACTGACAGCTCTAAAAATAACTTACATTTACAATACTTTGGTAGTTAATAATTTAAGTCATTCTTTTTAAAATTTATGAAGAGTAGGAGAGACTGGGGTTAGGTAAACCCTGGGGCTTAGCAAACCACTTAATCTCATTTTAAAATTAAATACACAAAAAGGTAAAATTTTATCCTAATATAGTTTTCATTTTTTGAAATAATTAATTACTAAAAATTCTATTTAAGTGAAATTTTCAATAGATTTTTACATGACAGAATTTTAATTTTTATTAAAATATATAATAATTTATATGTAAATTAAATTTTATTACAAAATTTAAACATTCTTCTATAATTTGGGTAAGTTTTATGAGTATTTATCAAATCTAGATATTATTTCAATCATGATTTGTCAATTTAGAGCTAGCGGGGTTTTCTAAACCATACACGTCATTTATGGCAATCGATAATGAAAAAAATTTCAAAATCTTGAAAAGGCAATTTCATGGCTGTTTATGATTGGTATTTAGGATATATGCTAATAAATTTTAATCTCTCCTTAGAATTCATATTTTTTTATGTCCAAAATGTTTATTAAATTAGCCAAAATTAAGTTTCAATTTTTATATATAATTAGTTTCAATTTATAAGTATTATATTTTGCACAATAAAATAATTCTATACATATTATTATTAATAAATAAAAATGCATTTCAACTTATTATGGACTAAAAAAACCAATGGTTTATGAAGCCCCTTGAAGTGGTTTGCCTCACCCCGTTATTGGGGCTTGTTGAACAAAATTTTCACTTTTACAAAAAAAAATGATTTATATTCTTATTTTTTATAAGGCACCTTTATAGAGTAAAGTTTTAGGTATCCAATCATATGTTATTTTTTATATTATCTATAAAACAACAAGTACTATAGCCAATTTAGTAAAAATTAGTTCGACTAACCCCAGTCTCCCCTACCATTATAATTAAAAAGGTGTAATTAATGGAAAAATATCGCGATTTAAGGCGACGAATTTTTTTAGAGGGTAGGTTTGTTTTTTGAGGAGTTTTTGGATTCCGCGAAAATCCTATCATATAGACGTTGACATCCGTTATCGTAGTGAAACCAGACCCATGAAAAGAGCTTTTATATTTTATAAAATTAAATATCGATTACCTTCAACCTTGATGTTTCGCGATAATAATCTATATGTGCAGTTTATAGGTCTAAATGTTGAGGGGGATTAACAAATCCCTCATGGCTACCCTATATGGAATCTACCAAAAGTGCTACATAGAAGTATAGAACACTATGATTCTGAGAACTTAAAAATGTTTTAATATCAGCTATATCAAACACAAGTATGGGTTAAAGAGGAGTAAAACATTTGAAAACCCAAATCATACTAAGCCTCATTTATAGCAAATGCGATTTGTTCAAGCTGTGCGGTAACTAACGCTACGTTCCTTATAAAATCAAGGCAATAGATATTATAAATATGGAGCTAAACGATGAAAAAACTATGATAATATATGAGAAGAAAATTATCGATTTAAAGAATCAGCTGTGATTTCGATTGCATTAAATACTACATTGCTTAAACCAATCAATGAATGAGATTTAAATCGAAGATATTAACAAGAAAAATTACTGGGCAAATTTTTAACATTCAAAATAAAAGCCTTCAGTAATTTTATAAGTGACGAAACGTTATTTTCTCATTTTATTTAGTATAGCGGTGGGTGCGAGTCTTCGAAATCCATGTGACCAATCATGTCACGGTGGATCACGCCACGATTGTAAATTTTAGCAGTAATTAATTAGTCTATTAGAAAATTTACATAAAAATGATTTAAAACTTAGCTTATTTTAACTAGTGTTTCTGATATTTTCTTTTTTTTCAAAAAATTAGCCAATCAAATTTTCCCCTACCAGTTTGGGTTCAATGTTTACTAGAGGAAAGACCAAACTGAAATATTAACATTTTTCATCTTTAAAAAAACATTTTGATGCAAAGGCGTATAAGATAAATTATATAATTAGAGGAAATAAATAAGGCAGGGTAATGAATTATGATAATTATTGTTTAGTTGAAATAAAAAGATTTGATTTAAACTTACTTAGGTTGGCTGATTGATAATTCATTTAAAGCGCTGTTGAATATGGCGTTTCCATATAAGAATTTTTATACATAAATTGTCACTCTAGATTGCATTATATGCTATTGATATAAAGTAACAATTTTTAAAAAGTTTATAAATTCTATTCTTTATAAATTCGAAAGGGCCTAGAATTTTAAAAATCTAATTGTGCTTAAAAAAGGAATCCGAGCCAGGTTGGGGTGATTTTATTTTAAAATGATATTAATTAATTAATGGGGTTAATTTTCCTTTGAAACAATTTGCCTAAATATTCTAAATAAGGAAATTTAACTAAGGCTTACTAAAATGATGAGATAAAAATACGGACTTGGTCAGTTTATTTTTCATACTGGGCGAGGCTTGGTCTAAAATTGTAACATAGGATTTTAAATTTTTAAAAAAAATTAAAATTTGAAAAATTAAGATTGAGCGGATAACTATGAAGTGGGCTAGTATAAAGGCTTGGTCTAAAATTGTAACATAGGATTTTAAATTTTTTAAAAAAATTAAAATTTGAAAAATTAAGATTGGGCAACTATGAAGTAGGCTAGTATAACTATCTTATCAAGTTTCATTTTCTAAAAAAGGTCCAGAACATTGGGCAAATAGAATTCATTCATTTTATCTTATGAATAACAAAAAACAAACAAAACTATAATTTTATTTTTGCTCCATTTGTAGTATAACTAACAAAAAATATTGAAATAAAAATATTATGCATATATGAATTTATAAAATAAAGAGGATGACTAATATAAATATTGCAAATATTCAGACAGGTATAAAAAAATTATTCGTCATAATTTGAAAATGCTATCAAAATATTATGTCTTCAGTCCATTTGACCAAATCCATTTCAAATAATAAATTATTGATAGAAATCATATCCATTTCCTATTTTATTTATAAGGGTAGTTATATAAACTTATATGATTTAAACATCAATAAAGATTTCGAAATATTTCAGTAACTTATTCGTGTTACCTTTTTCAGCTTGTTTTATTTTTGAAATATCTCGATAACTTTTTTAAAACTAATATAAACTTAATTTATTACCTTTTTTAACAATTTTATTTTTATTTTAGAGATATTTAGTTAACTTAATAGTTTGTTATCTTATCAATCAATTTAATCAAAAATATTTCAAAACAATAAATGGATTGAAAAAGATAACTAATAATCGACAGATAAATATATTTAATAAACATTATTTTGTTGAGAAATACTATAAGTAAACATGATTTTATTAATTTTAGATAATCTTTATACAAGAAATCAATTCGAAAGTCCTATCTTACCTAATATTTTTTAAGAGATCAAAATAAAAATCGTATTAAAAATTATTAAAATATTAAGAGATTGCAGTTAAGCAAACGATATATAATTATTAAATTTGCAAATTTAAATATAAAATTTTTGATAAATTAAAAACTACCATTTTATTAGGGAATGTAAAATCTTCGACAGCTGGCATTGACATTCTTTGGGAAATATTTTGCTCTGGCAAAGATAATTCAACATTTTTAGTAGTTATATTGAGCTCCATATTAACATCTTTGTATATACTTGGCTCACTATTTTCGATATGATTAAAAGTGGTGTCCTTACATTGATACAAAGAAACGAAAGGAAGCCTATCACAAAGGGCATAACCATCCACCTTAACCATTATGGAAGTCTGATCGACATTTGATATACTATCATGTGGGAAGGTTGTTAAATAATCACGGGATTTAATGTCAAGATTAGTAATTATGTTTTGTAAATAAGAACAAGCTTCGATTGAAAAAACTGTCTCCCCTATTTTTTTTAAAAACATTTTTATAAAATTAGATATTATAAACAACCTTGTTTAGGTATGATCTTGGACATGTAACATTCTGTAGCCATCACTGGTAAAGAAAGAAAATCCATTCTAAACAAAAAATAATAAATGATATAAAGTCATAAATTTCAAATGATATGTGCATATTTCAATATTATTTTTAAAATGATTTAAACAATGAAGCCTTTTTAGAAAAACAATGCTTGACACTTCTGCTCAATTTTATATATTATATAAAAAATTTTGATATCAATTCCATAAAGAAATTATAGGTGTAAAATGTATTTTAGAAATTACGAATATAACAATTAAAAAATTTCACCTTATTTGTCTAAGTTCATTGCGTGATAGCTTTTGGTAACCACCAAAATCTAAAAGTTTGACTATACATTCATCTTTTTCTTCCAAATACTCCAATATTTGAGATCTATACCATGTATCATCGACTTTAGCAGCACATAAGGTTCCAGCTATTATAATGATAAAACAAAATTATAAAACTAAATGGAGTAGTGCTGTTTTTTAGATTATTCATAATTATTTACATGAAATGGCGATTTATACTTTTAGTTTCTTTACAACAATTTAAAACTTTTTATATAAATATATAACACCCTAGTAAAGGTATAAATTTCTTCTTCTTCGTTTATTGGCGATTTCCAGACTTACCCAGGTAAGCCAGTTTCCCCTCTAATATTCCAGTAAAGATATAAATTAATAAATATAATTAGAGATGTAAAGGTAGGGAAATTTCCCGGGAAATTAAATTTCCCGAATTTTCCCTTAATATAAATATATTATTTATTTGCAAAAATTATGATTTATATTTTATAAAATATAATATTATTTCAATAATTATGATTTATAAATAATTTTTATTTTCCTCGTGAGTCTTTAAACTTATTTTTTTTATTAGTGCAATCATTGAGTGCAATTTTTCAAAATTCTCATACATATTATTAATGTGATATATTATAGAATTATTAATAATTAATGATATATTTAGATTTGATATATAATAGTGCGCACAAATTGAGCGTTTGCAGTATGTTTGTTAATGTAACGCATCTTTGTTTAGATTGAAAGCAGTATGTTTTTTATTAAAGTTTTTTTTATAATTTCTTAAACAAAAAGAGTTTATTTCTTACCTTAAGGTAAAATAAGGAAGTCTAATTAATTATATTTGTTTATTTAGATTTCCTAAGAATTTATGATTCAATCAGGTTTTTCAAATTTTTTCGTGGCCTTGGATGCAAAACATATGTATATAAATGTTTCTTTGTTTATCCTACCTTAATTTATATATTTATAATAATCTATATATTTTAATAAATGTGAAATAAATTTTGAATAGTTTGCATATTTATATATTTTATATTTTTTTTAAGACACTAGATATAAAAATAAATAGATTTAGAAATAATGCTAATCAAATTTCAAATTTATGATATAATTTGATTAAATCTATCTAATAATTGCTAAATAAATTTTGAATAATTGCTTATTTATATATATTTTACAAAATAATTTTAATTACATTTTTCAATCTTTAATTATGAAAATGTACACCATAATAAGAGTATTAAATGTCTTATTTAATAAAATAATTTTAATTATATTTTTCAAAAATGGACACTAGAATATGGAATAATATAACTTTATTATATATAAATAAATAGAATTACAAAAAAAAACAAATCAATTTTCATAGATATAATTTCATTAAATAATGAGGTTTGATTTGCAGGTATATCTGTTGAATTTGGAGGCCACAATTCAATTTTCCATTAAAGTATAATACAATGGAGATACTTCATTTTTGAAAAAATATTTGTTTGATTCATATTTTATAGAGAAACATTCTATAATAATGTTAAATTTATAGATAAATATATATTTTACTGGCTCTCACTCAAGGCACCCTTTCCAAAAGAGTCAATATATCCAACAATGCATTTAATTTTAACCCACTTGCCTTCCTTTGGTATAATTTCTTTAGGACTAAAACTATCCTCTATTGTTGGCTCCATGAATTTAATGTAATCATACCATCTGTATGAGAGTTTAGAGCCAGAAGCTCCTGAAACCTTGCACAATTATCTTGGTCTTTAAAGTTTTGCAACTACTTCTATGCATGCTACAGTTGTATCATGCAATGGAAATTCCATCCCCAAGCTATTAAAAATATAATTTATCATTATATATATTTACCTTAAACTACTGGTTAATAAACCATCTAATATTAATATAGAATTCTTATGGTCTGGACGCTGCTGGCTCCAGACCATTTGCTGAGTTTCCAGTAAGGCACAAAATTTTTTAGTAACCTTATCATCCTTTCTAAAATTATAATATGTATATCCTAAAATTATATAAATATAAATTCCAAAATTATATAAATAATCATTTCTAAAATTATATAAATATCAATTAATATATGAAATAAATTATACCTACAATTTGTATCCATTTTTAAATTTTAGCGCAAAATTAAAAAAGCATAGAAAAAATCTAACCAGTTTGCTTTTTTATTAACGTTTGCCGTAAAAAAATCCAAGCTACACTCTACCATATTAGCTTTTAAAACGGAGAGTTGCAACGCTCAATTTGTGCGCACTATAAGTATCATTATATGTTAATCATACTATATAACTGATATAATGATTTATGTTTAATATATTTTAATCATACTATATAACTGGTATAATGATTTATTGATGTTTAATTTAAATTAATATGATTGCAATATTTTATAGATGCCTCGGAAATCTTCCAATATCTGGAAACATTTTATTAAAGATAGGGTTATTCCATGTCAAATGAGCAAAAAAATCAAGATTTTCGGCCGACCCCTTTCAATTCCGATAAAAAGTTGTAGACTGGTTATATATGTTCCCATTAGATTATAAACAAAATTTTAGCGCATTAGCAACTATATTAGCGGAGATAATCGGGATTAAAGGTCCAAAAAACGTCTTTTTTTGCTTTTTACTGATGTCAAATAATTAGTTTTTAATTTAAAACTAAATATGATCAAATATTGAATCTAATATCAATAGCTAAGTTAATAATTGAGAATTATGGCTAAAACATCAAAATTAATTTTTGATAAAATATGGGTCATCTTATGGTCAGTTGAAAACTTGAAATTAATATTTAGAAATGTATATGATCTCCGAATTTTATATTTTTAAAGAAATATTATCCGTTTACTATTTTTTTAATAATTTCTTCAACAATTAGCATGGCTGGATATTTATTTAAAAAAATATTGCGATTTTTATACTTTAAAAAAATAGATGGCGCTATATATAATAGTTATAATATGTTAAAATTCATTTTTCTTATTGATTAAAAATATTTTAATGTATAATATATCATAAAATTCTATTATATAACTTTGTAAACCTTATTCCCCTTAGATATTCAGAGGATATAAAATTTTAATAATTTTTTTAATATTTCAATGTAAATTAAAAATAATTAAAAAATCCGACTAGCACACTAACAAAAAAGCAGGATTAAAGGTGTGCAGGAAAATTATTAAGGGAAAAATCGAAAATCATATTAATTACCAGGCCTACCCCCAACCCTCCACCCCCCAGACTAAGTCATACCCATCAAGATCAAGAATGTTATGAAATTGTCATTATCTTAAATTATTAAAATAACCAGAGATAAAGAAAATTTCGAAGATTTTGAAAAAAATTTTAAGCAATAAAAATAAACAAAATTATAGTTCTGATGAAATAAGCCGACTCATGCCTGGAATAAAAGATTGTGATCTGTTAAAGGCGAGAAAGAATCAGTCCAAAGACTTATATTAAATAAGCTTAAATAAATATTCAAGATGTTTAAGGAAGAATACCCAAATATATCAATTGGATTCTCTAAATTTGCCGAACTTAGACCAAAAAACTGTATTTTAGTTGGAGCTAGTGGCACACACACTGTTTGTGTTTGCGCCATTCATCAGAATGTGAAATTAATGACAAATGTAGAAAAATTTAAAAGATGGGGAATTTTTAACAATTCTAGATTATTCTGAGAATTATTCCTTCATTTTACAAGATGAAGTTCAGGGATTTCATTGGAACAACGTGCAGGCCACTATACATCCATTTGTAGCATATAAATCTGGAGAAGAATTAAAAAATATAAATTTTGTTATTTTATTCAAATTTAATTCTAAACCAGAAAAAAATAATATATTTTTCAGATGAAGCCGCGTCTCAATACAAGAATCGCAAATTTTTTTTGAACATATGCCTTCATAAATACGATTTTAATATTCCTGCCGAATGGCATTTCTTTGCCACTGCTCACGGCAAAAATGCAAGTGACGGTATCGGAGGAACTATCAAAAGATTAGTTGCCAGAGCTAGTCTTCAAAGGCAAAATAAAAATCAAATCCTAACCTCATTAGAATTATATAATTATGCTAAAGAAAATATTAATGGAATTCAATTTGAATATGTATCCAATCAAGAATATATCGAAGAGGAATTAGCCCTTCGTAAAAGATTTAATGCACTGCTTATACATGGGACCCAAAAAAATCACGGGGTTATTCCCATTGATCAAAATAGACTAAAAACCAAAATATATTCCAATTCCAAAAAATATAATATAAAACAAGTTTAGTTTTTAAATGAGAAAATTAATTTTTAAAATATTAATGGATATATAACAGGTGTATATGGTGATAAATGGTGGTTAGGATATATAATCGATAAAAATGATATAAATGAAGAAGTAAAAATCCGATTTTTACAGCCTTGTGGACCTTCAGCCTCATTTAAATTTCCTCTGAAAGATGATATTGCCTAAATCTCATATTCTCTCGCTGGTCAATCCTTCTACTCCCACCAGTCAAACATATATATTATCTCCTGAAGAAATCTCACAAGCTAGCCGGGCTTTGTATTCCTTTAGATGAAGTAAGATTTAATTAATTTATAACTATCTTAATCAGGCTAAATTTGTGAAGATTTTAAAAATTTATGATCTGAATTACAAATAAATATATATAATGGACATTGTAATCGATTTAGTATGATATATATACATTAAAATATTTTTAATCAATAAAAAAAATGAATTTTAACATATTAAAACTATTATATATAGCGCCATCTATTTTTTTAAAAGTATAAAAATCGCAATATTTTTTAAAATAAATATCCAGCCATGCTAATTGTTGAAGAAATTATTAAAAAAATAGTAAACGGATAATATTTCTTAAAAAAATTAAAAAACTGACCTTTTTGGAATTTATTTATAAGAAAATTATATTTGTAGAATCGGATTCAGCGGTATTATCTGACGTTCCAGAAATATTTTGGGACATAAAAGATAAACTCAATACATCAACTTTATATTTAAAGAAAATGATTTGAAAAGTGTTAAGATGCATATAAAAAACGAAAGAAATTTTGTTGCCGAGAATATCATTATGCAACAAATCTTC